TAAATGTTTATATTTGAATCAGAACCTGGTGCTCTTTTAATCCTTAAGTCGTAGATAGCTGAAAGAAATATAATTAAATAATGAAATGTAATATTATTTTTAAAAAAATGTTTGACCCGAGGCGATGCAGTGGTTAAAGGTACTGATTTTTTAAAGGAACGATCCTCAGTTGCCTACTTAAGCCTACTTAACTTCAGTTCTAGCTTGCCTGAGAAATAAAAGCGGCTTGTGCGCAATGCTGGCCTTTTTGCCTCAGTCAAACCATTGGTCACGAAACTTTGGATCCTTAAATATTATCCTATTTGAACTGATATAATGATTTAAGTCTTGTTTACAAGTAAAATTACTTTTCATTTGTTTCTAATTATGTCACTCATTTTGTATTCCTAAGTTGTTGTTTTTTTATTTATATATATATAGTTTATTATTCTTCAAATGCGGGTATCCTTTCATTTAGACACGATTAACAAAATGTTCTCTGTTTTTGTGTTTAACATCAGTTATGAAGAGAAAAACTTTAATTGTACACGCCGTAAACGCATTTTTTTTTTTCTTTTTTTGCTCATATAAATAATTTAACTTTTTAATAAATTTAAATATTTATTCTGAAAATATGGCGTATTAAGAACTTAGAAACTGCGTTGTTGAAAGAAAGAAGTCATTTTCTTTCTCTTTTGAATAAACTTCATAACTTTAAATATTGAAAGTTATTTCCCTAAATAACGGAAACGGATGCATTCGGAGAAGATTAAATCTATGACAAGTGGCTGTTCCTAATTTGAGAAAACAAATTTGTGTAGGAAACTGAAAGATTTATTCCTTTTCATTGTTTGTTAAAATCGCGTTATTTATAGCTTTTTTGTTACAAAGCTTTCTGGAACACTTGTTCTTTTAGAGTCCCCTTAATCTAAAAAGGAAACAACTTTTTGAAAGTGGCTATTCGTTTTTAGTTCGGTGACGCAAGTTACCAGCTTCTCTATCTTTCATAACACACACCTTACTTAACTCAGCGTTCATTGTTCCCACCTGTGTTTTCACAAGACCAGCCTCTGACTTTTTTTTTTTTTTTTTTTTTTTTTTTTTTTTTTTTTTTTTTTTTTTTTTTTNTTTTTGCTGACTACTGTGAGACGTATTTTAATTTCTTTTAAGTGTAATAATAATAAGCTACACATAGATTCATGCAAAAAATTTCATGCAATTTTTTTTTTTTTTTTAATTTTATTCTTTTTCCTTTATAAATTGGGTACATAAAACAGAAATACTTAAACACTTATAGAAATTTTTAATATTGTGTGTTATTTTTATAATTAAGATTTTTTAACGGAATTTTTTTTATTAATTTTTTTTTACTCCCCTGTGGAGGCACCTGTGGCGTGTGTTGCTCGTCTCCGTGATTTAGGTTCGCAGGTGCCCACAGGGAACATTAAATGAGCAACACTTCCGGTATCTTCCGGGACGAAGAACGAGTAGTCAGTAATGTTAACTTTTTAATATTCATTTAATGTTTTAAATCATCTCAAAACATTAAATGATTCAGCCATGCTTCGTATCATAACGGACAATTACATTCATTTTTTTTTTAAATAATTATGCATATAGTATCCCTTAAAACTCCCAGAAAACATTTTATTACTTTTCTAAGAGTGCTAATTATTAAGTTATTTTAAGGGGGTTCGGTACCTCCTATGTTGACAATGTTAAAATGGCATATTTCGATGTACCTTTTTAAAAAAAGTATCGTAGTTAGAGCTTTGAATTTTTTTTGTGTATGTAATAGATATTCTAGATTATACTGAAGTGAACTTTTTTTAATTTAGTGAATTAAAAGAAATTAAAAAAAAAAAATTACACAGCATGTCAGAAAATTTTAAAAGCTTCACATTTTCATCCGAAAATTTTGAATTAAAAAAAAATATTAAGTTTCTCTTAAAAAACTGCTCACTTCAGCACAAACTACAGTACTAAAGGAACTTTTTAAATCAAATATCAAAGTGTTGTGATCAATAGTTTTCAAGAAAAGGTACATCGAAGCAAAAAAAACATAGTTTTGAGTTATTTGCATTTAAAGCGTAAATATTAGACTACCAACAATATTTAAAATTTAAATTCAAAAATCAAATTGTTTCTAAGTTATAAATCTCGTACTGCTTACATTTCAAACAAATTACTCTTGAATGTTTCTTTTATTTGATTGAAAAATAGGTCTTTATACTATACTCTCCTCACTTTTTGAGCGAATAAAAAGCCCTTAAAATGATCAAACTGAATGCGATAATTATAATATTGTATAATTCATAAATCACCCATAAATTTTATTCATGAAAATTTAATATTCAAGTCCTTACCAAGATGTTTTGCTCAAATTTAAGTGAGTTAAAAGTATTTTTGCTAAAAAAAATAACTATATTACAAAAAAAATCTAAGAAAATGCATATTTTAAGAAAAACATTCTAAGCACAGAAATAATTAACAAAGAACTGTAAATAAGAATTTACTTCAAAATTAGAAATATTATGTAAAGAACATTTAAAAAAAAATCAAAATAATGTAACTAGAAATTAGGGAGAAAAAAAAATCCGGTCCAAGGTAAATTCGAATAATGTAAACGAAATTCCTAATCTATGCCGGTAATGACAGCTTCAAAACAATCCTGGTCCATAAGCAATGTTTTTTTTGCATTTCAGTACTTTATTTTCTTCTCTTTTACGTAAGTAAACAAAAACGTAATGAAGAATAAAAAAAACGTAAAAATAATGACCTAATAACAGTATAATAAAAGAACAAAACAAAAATAGACTTAACAAATCAAACTAATGTAAATCTCAGTTTTATATTCAAAATTCTCGAAAATCGCATGGAAATAAAGAACAAACAATCCAGTTAAAGTTGCAATCAACTAAAGATATTGTAAAGTTGAAATTATAAAATTTTTTTTAATGACTTGGTAATAGCACATGCAAAAAATAATGGACATTATAATGTTTACGAAATCGTCTGTCAAAAGTGGGCGTGGCATGGGTGTTTTCGGTTTGTTTACATTTTTTAAATTAAGATTAAGTGCACTTCTACGTGGATTTCAAACAAAAGCAATATATCGTTAGAAAGCTAATAGTTTCTAGTTTAATTATTGATCAAAATCTCAAATTCGATTTTTTGAAGGTTTTTAGGTACTGAACCCCCTTAAGCAAAAAATGCTGACTTTCGTTTTCCTCTGAAACGGGGAGTCACGTGATAATTCACAAACTGACGTCACCCGTGCTCATCTACCGTTCGTTTACAATCAATCCAATCAATCGTTGTGGTTTGAAAGCCATTACTTTCTTGCTTCCGTTATATAGGTTTTTTTTTTTTTAATTATTTAGCTTTAGTGAAACAAAAACATCTAGCTTAACAATATTCGTTAACATTATGTGGTTAAATTAAATTCCATTAAGGGAAATTTTAAGTATAAGCACCTAGATTGTGGCGATGTTGATAATGGGCAGAAATATGTTTCAATGGATTATTCTTGGAAGTGTTGATTCGTTTTCGGTGATTTCTTCACCTATTACTATTTTATTAAAAAATAATTCGTTAAAAATTTATAAGGCATTAATTTTACTATATTAGAATTGTTCTTGGCAAGCATTGACAAATAGTTAGCAGAAAGAGGAATTAAAATTTATAAATTTAAAAATAATTTCTAATTATAGCGAAATTCCTATTGACTCAAAGAATAATTAGATGCGAGCGTTAATGTGTTTTTAAATATTTAATGCGTAGTAAAAAAAAGAGAAGAAATAAACTGCATTAATAAATTATTTACTCAAAAAGATATCCTTAATAGCAATGAAAATTAATTTAAAATAAATAAATAAAATAAAATAAGGCGAAATTAAATTACATTACCTGAATTTTTGAGCATTAGCCCATAGACTGTAACGTTGATGGATGTTATTTTTCTATGGACTAGATTTTTAAAAACACTGATTTTTTTTAATGCGATACCGAATAATAAAATCTTCCACCCTATATCTATTTCTATCCAATGTGCACCTGATTTTAATTGAGTAATTAGGCTGTAATGGAGCGTTATTTTCACTTAAAAATAAGAGGAGTAAAATAATATATTCTTCGAACTTCCAACACCACTGATTTCAGCCGAAAAGAAATGTTGATTCGCTGTGAAGCGCTACATAATAATTTCTTAAGCTATTTTAGTGATAAATAAACAGTTTGAAGTTATAAAAATCTTCCTCCCATTTTGCACACACTCTAAAAATTGTAAATTTCAGTGGCAAAATTTTTACTAATAATATACAATGGATGTTCATACGATATAAGGTCCCGCAGTGGACTGATCGTTAAGACACGGTTCCCAGCAGATCACCGAAGTCAAGCATCACTGGCTACGGTCAGTGTGCGGGTGGGTGACCACTCGGATCAGTCTGCGTAGGGACCGAGGGTGTGCGGTATTGATCCTCGTTAAACTGTGCTGCCGTAAAGTGCTCGACTTCGCGCGCAGGTGGTCGGGCTACCGAAGCGGGGGTGCCATCCCCTCCGCAGAGGATCAAAATTGTGATGGCATGTCTTCGGATCATCCACCGGGATGTTTCCCAGACCGTCGCCAATAGCCCATTGTGCAGCTCTAGTGCGACGTAAATTAACAACAACAACATCATACGATATAAGTGATATCAAAACTAAAAGAGTATTGAAAAATAGCCTTAGCGGATAGAGATGCCTCTTTTCTGTTTAGCACGTGTGACGTTATGACCAATCAGGAATCGATTTTGATTGTATCACTTATGGAGGCCTTTTTAGGCAATTTAAAGGTTAAATAATTGAAAAAATAAATATCTGGGGGAAATCAGATTCTCTGATTCAGGTGAGAATTTCCTAGAATTGGAAATAATAAAGAAAAAAAATAAACAATTAAAAGATACTGTAATTGTCCATTAGATTTGGCTGAAACTTATTTTGTGCATTTCTAATTATAATACTTTCAATTGATGTTGCAGATTCAGAATCCATGCCATCCATGCCTTACTGTACATGGTCCAGGTCACTATGGGCTATCTACTCATGCTCATCATCATGAGCTACAATGCTTGGCTAGCAATAACTGTATTCACGGCAGCCGGATTCAGCTATTACTTCTACAGCATGTATGTCCTCAATCGCCCCACAGTCGTCCCCACTGAGATCCTCACACCCGGAGAATGTGACTAGTCCGTCCACCTGCATTTGTCTTCAATTCTACACTTGTTGCTTTTGTTTTGTTTGTTTTATGTATAGAGAGTACGTTAATTATTTTATTGTGATCTGTAACGGATGATCTCCCTATCTGCTCCAGCGGATATCCTTTGTTGTTATTTTATTGATGTGTGTACATAATTTATGCATATTTTAACCACAGATGAAATGGCAACACGCCAGATAGTTTTATAAACGTTGAGAATCTCGTTGCTTTAGTCCTTCAGTAAATCTGATATTTTCCACACAGTGGATTTCTAAGTCTTGTAAAATTATGTTAGATCTGTATGCAAAAATAAATGCAGTTTATAAAATTTTCTCAAATCTATTTTTTTTCCTCCCCTTTTTTGTGATCTGCAGTGGAAGGTCTCCCAATCTGCTTCATTATAGGATGTATACTTTTGCTGTTATTTTTTTGTACAGGTGTACATAATGTATGCATATTTTTACCACAAATAAAATTGCATTACACCAAATAGTTTTATTTGAGCGAATGGAATATCTGTCAATCTACCAATCACCCTTTCTTTATATAGGTTTAAAAAAAACGATGGAATTTAGAAAGAACAGAGAAAAATTTTCTTCCCAAATCCTTCAAATAATCTAGTTCTTTTATCATTCTATTATTTGCATAAAGTGAATGCATTTGATGTTTTTGATCCGCCGGATTTCGAAATCCAGTGAAAGGATGTAAACAGTTAGCAATTTGACTTAACTTTTTTAAACCCATTTATATATTTTATTTAAATCATTTTATTGTGATCGGTAATGGAAGATCACCCAATCAACTCCACAATAGAGTGGATGCCTTTATTGTGATTTTATATGGATCCGTGCGTAATTTATGCATATTTTATCACAAAAGAGATGGCAACAGGCCACATAGTTTTATGTTTTTATTCGTTAAACTACCAACCTAATTATGTTGGCAAAAAATAAATCTCTCGATAATGTCATAAAGTATATAGAAACATAGTGAATCAATCCACCTTGCTTAACTCTTTTTCTGGCCTTACGAAAATCACTTTTAGATATCAGTAATTTGAATAAAGTAAATGTGTTCGATTTCTTTCTTCCACCTTCTAGACTTCTCTGTCTAATAAAAGAATGTTAACAGATCTATATACTAAATTTTTTAAGTCTTATACATATATATATAAAATTTATTCAAATCATTTTATTGGTATTGTGGAAGATCTCTCAATCAGATCCAGAATGTATTGCATGTTTTTGTTGTTATTTTATGCATAATATCTGTACATAGTTTATGCATATTTTTACCACAAATAGAATGGCAACATGCCAAATAGTTTGTTATATGAATGTATAGTATTTTTCTCTAGCTACCAACCAAACTACTCTTGCATGAAGGTTAAAAAAATCAATCAGTTGGTTAAGTCTTAACCATTTGCAGGACAGAAAATTTTGTTCAAAGTTAAGTCAAAGAATGCAAAGACAATTATGGTGTTCGTATGTGTGTATACACGATGGAGCTATTAGCTTTTTATCTTCACATTTTTCAAAATAAAAAGTGGTTGATCAAAAACAACGCTGGTTAAAAGATAAAAGTTTTTTTATTTCAGTGGTTTATGGATGGGTGATCGTGTAAAGCTAAGGGTGGAGGCGCTAGTGGTAAAATTGCTCTTTCAAGACTTCCGGGTTACTGCTTCCGATATATTTTTACGCCGCAGATTGAAAAAACGCCCCATCATATTATTGCATCATATCTTTTGCAGTATTTCACATGTACCAAGTTCTTTCTTTCAGCCTTTAAACTTCAGCATTATCATATTAATATTATAATCATTAGAATATTTTCTAATTAGGCTAACTTAAAAAGATATTTTTGGCGACATTTTATTCAAATGTAGCCAAATAAGGGATAAAATACAAAACATGGCAAACTTTGAGAATTATTCATAATGAGATATTAAATTTCCAAAATTTTTTTTGGCCTTACGACTTCTGAGAATCAATACATTTCTGGAAGCTCTTATTAATGGTGCAATTATGTTTAGATTTGAACCCAAATTACAATAACAAAACTGCATAGAATATTAGGCTTGTTCACACATCGCCTCGTAGTCATAACATAAGCGGAGGGATTACACCGGAAATTTTCTAAATTTCTTCCGGTTTAAGGACGCTTGTTATTGTTTACATTAGACCACCCATCCATATTGTTAAAATAAGTCGAACAATTTTTCTCCCATTGCCCCTGGAAGAGTTAATGCAGAAAGAGGTATAAAAACATAAAGCGAATCAATCAAACTCCTTCAGCTAAGTTCAATTTATCTAATTTACTCAACAGTTCTATCATCAGAGAAGTAGATGCATAGAAGGAAATTGATGACCTCTCTCAAAGTCAGATAGGTTTTTTGGGCATCGCCATCAGCTACTCGAAAGCAATCACATGACGTCAAAAAAGCAGTCTGTCTCAAGACAGGAGTGCTACATTTTGTACAGATGCCCAAAAGCCAAGATGTACTTGCCCAAAAGCCAAGTTTGTTTATACAGAGAATTAAAGTGATACATAGAGTAGTATATATTATTTTAGGTAACAGAGATACGTGATGAGCATGAATTAGTGTACTGCCCGTGTACTAAAAAACACCTCTCGCCGCCAAACAGTCTAAAGCTGACATGTTACTGTATGTAAACGAGACAATGAACAGTTCAAAGAGTTGGAGCTTCTGATGCTTCTTTCTCCGACCAGAGTTAACACGGTCACTGACCATGCTCTAGTCTATTAGCGAGGGGAGTTCTTTAGTTAGACAGGCAATAGAAGTCCTTAATAGATTATTTTATTTTGTTAAATTGCTGATTTGTATAGCAGAATTTTGTATGTGCTTAAATTTCCTTATGTACTTTTGTATTCTGCTTTATACCGTGTAATTTTCAATTGCATCATCTGTTTCAAAAATATGTTAAAATAAAACTGAGATTTGAGAAAAAGGAAAGTTTAGCAACATCTCATTCTTTTAATTTCATCTGAATTATTTAATTTTATCTAAAGAATATTACACTTAAATTTAAATTCGTTCTATCGTCTCTTTTTTTTTCCTGCAAAATTCTAAAAAACATTGTCTTATGTGCCTCTTGATTTTGTTTTTAATTTGGTCATTGCCTCTAAATAATTGAATAAATAAAAGTATTTCCTCAGTATGCTTCACCTCATTTATGGTTTCCATTACACTAAAGATGTTACTGTGACTGGTATAAGTTTTTCACAATTAAATGCATTTTCGAAATTAATACTTCCTTTTTTTTCGGGGGGGAGGCATATCCCAAAAATATAATGAATGCCTGACCTTCGTAAACTTCCTTCAAATTATATTTACTTACTGCATTTATTTGTTTATTTTTTTCATTTCCTCACATTACATTATTAAAGAAGTTTACAAACCATCCTTGGTGGATGACCACTAGGATCAGTCTGCGTAGGGACCGAGATTGTGCGGTATTGGTCCTCCTTAAACTGTGCTACCGTAGAGTGCTCGACTTCGCGTGCAGGTCGTCGGGCTACCGAAGCGGGGGTGCCATCCCCTCTGCAGAGGATCAAAATTGTGATGGCATGTCTTCGGATCATCCTCAGGGATGTTTCCCAGACCGTCGCCAATAGCCCATTGTGCAGCTCTAGTGCGACGTAAATTAACAACATCATCATAATTGCGAATGTGACATTATTTATTGCCTCGTATTTTTTTTATTTCTCTTTATTAGGTTCATTACAAAAAAATAATAGCCAAATGTAAACGAACCAGTTTTAGAAGATTAAAGTTGAATGATTAATAAAGAAAAATGTTTAAAAAAAGTTAAACATAAAGGAGCAAGTAGAAATATCTACGGATTAGTAATTTCTTTTACACTGATAAAAAAACAATTAAAGAAAGGAACTTTAAAAAAAAAAAAAAGAATTGGTAGCGCCAGTGCACAAATACGTATCAAATGGTAGCTAAACTCTTCACGGACACCACTGCTACGTAGTGGCCAGTGATGTCGTATTGCAGAAGCGTTGTGATCGTGTTTGTGTAGTGGCGCCTCATTTGCTCTTCAAAGCTTAACGTAAGGACGTTTTCAAACGTCTTAGCCGAGTCCCTGTTTTTTGAATCCCACTGTGGACTGATAATAAGACACAAGTAAAGCACCACCGGCTGCGGTCAATGTGCGAGTGGGTGACCATTTTGATCAGGCTACGAAGAGACAGACAGTGTGCGGTATCGGTCCTTATTCTACAGTAAAGTGCTGGACTTCGCCCGCAGGTCGTTGGGCTACCGAAGCTGGGAGAAATCCCCTCTTCAGAGGATCAAAATTGTGATGGTATGTATTCGCATTATCCTCAAGGATGTTTCCCAGACCTTCGCCAATAGCCCATTATGCAGCTCTAGTGTGAAGTAAGTAAACAACTACAGTCCCGTCTAGACTCTAGACCAAGGGTTTCCAACTTACATGATTCCGGGGGCCGCAGTTAAAAACACAAGTCAAATGGCGGGCCGCAACTTTATCCAAATTTTATATAGGACTCTTTAATGTTTGAAGGAATATTAAGTATTATTGTCAGATTTTTAACAAGTTGTACAAAACAAAAGTAATGAATTACAAACAATGATAAATATTTTCTTGGATGCAAAACCTGAGGTCCTGCAGTGGACTGATCGTTAAGACACTGTTCCCAGCAGATCACCGAAGTCAAGCATCACTGACTGCGGTCAGTGTGCGGGTGGGTGACTGCTTGGATTAGTCTGCGTAGGGACCGAGATTGTGCGGTATTGGTCCTCCTTAAACTATGCTACCGTAAAGTGCTAGACTTCGCGTGCAGGTCGTTGGGCTACCGAAGCGGGGGTGCCATCCCCTCTGCAGAGGATCAAAATTGTGATGGCATGTCTTCGGATCATCCTCAGGGTTGTTTTCCAGACCGTCGCCAATAGAACCATTGTGCAGCTCTAGTGCGACGTAAATGAACTACAACAACAGAAGAATCTGAGAAATAAATTTTTTTGCACCGTTGGTATGTTAAATTTCACAGAAGCGAAGAAATTAGGTTTTTTTTAACGAAAGAAAAGTATTTTAAAGACATATAGATTTTTTACGAAAATGGTCCGCAAATAAAGGACAACTAATATGTTTAAGTTCACGTGCCACAAAAAAGGCTTCGCGGGCCGCCAGTTGGTAACCACTACTCTAGACGATGCAATAGAACGGTGTACAGTTGAAAAACACGAGGCGGGACATTCACAGGCAACCTGTTGTAGGGACTTCGGAGATTCGAGAAATGTGGTGTCCTCTTTGTGGTAACAGTTTACGGAGACAAGAACAATATTTCGCTGA